TACTAATCTGATATAAGTGAAGCATTTACGATTAAACACTTGATTACAGGAGAAAAAATGTGCATTAATCAGGAATTCAAAGTAATTGTGTAACCAGTGCATTACTTATCATTAAATATAGAAGATAAGATAATTAACAGATTGGTAAAGAAGTTTCAAAGGATTGTAGTCTCTGACACCTGGAAATTAAAATATAGATTGGCGAAATGCAACAGTAATCAGGAGCTGTCGGTGATGTTAAATTATTCAGTAGTATAAGATTGATGACTAACCCCATCTGATAAAAAGTGGCCACCACAGTCTAAGTTCGGTGTTCCTTCCAATGCATCTACCAAAGAACCCCATACTGAAGTCACTGGGACACTCAATGCAGAGGGAGATTTCGAAAGAAAGCTTTACATTATTACACAACTAAGATTGCAGACTCCCGCAAACTCTGGAAATCGCGGCCGTTTCTATTCCAAAATGAACCACCAACGCGGCTACAGACACATTATTAATATGGCTTCACGGATGGCGTAATGGTTTAAGCGGTCGCCAAGCCGCTTCCTACTACGCCGAGTGTTGTGGATTCAAACCCCACATGGGACGACACTTTGTGTGATCCACAAATTGTTGTTCTGAGTCTGAGTGTTCTTTGTGTCCGTTTCATGAATGTTTGCAAAGTCCCCCGCGGCACAGGAATATATTCCCAATGCAGGAGTTGTCTTAAAAAACGAAAAAAAAGACGCGCGAGAAAGGATGCGTACAACAATCAGTGGAGTCCTCTTTAGATCTTAAATAAATCTTTGTACTCTTAAGTCTGTCCGTGTGGTGACGGATTAAGAATACAGAGTGTCACCACCCCTATTCATCCCGTGGGTGTCGTAAGAGCCGACAAAGGGAAAAATCTACGCAGAACACCAGCACTGCAGAGAGAAGGAAAACTTGACACAAACCCTATACCAACCCGTCTGGCCAGCGTGGCATAGTAGGCCAAAACCTCCTTTCTAAGGAGAGGCTTATGTCCAGCAGTGGACTGTTAAAGGTTGTTGATGATGATGACTCTTAAGTAAGTAATAGGTAAAAAGCAACTTTTTTACTTTTCTGTGAGTCCGTGGTAACTCCTCATCCAGTGGTTGCCTAGAAGAGATCTCAAGTCGGGATAAGGTCGCCAATTGTACAACTTTTGATGTTTTACTCTCTATGTTTTTTTTTATATCACATCACATCAACAGCCTTTAATAGTCCACTGCTGGACATAGGCCTCTCCTTAGAAAGAAGGTTTTGGCCTACTATACCACGCTAGCCAGGCGGGTTGGTATAGGGTTTGTGTCAAGTTTTCCTTCTTTTTGCAGTGCTGGTGTCCTGCGTTGTATTGCGCCCTTAGTCGGCTCTTACGACACCCACGGGATGAATTGGGGTAGTGACATTCCGTATTCTTAATCCGTCACTACACGGACATTTTTTTATATAACTTTAGATTATAAGACACACCAATGTATACAAACTGTTACTATGTTTTTATTGTACAATAAAGAGTTGATCGAGAAGAAGTAAAGAAGAGAGAGAGAGCACACAACAAAAAATCTAGTCACAAATCTAAAAAGAAATAAGTACAACTTTCTTAGATCAGACCGCCTACAATGAAGACAGATTACCGTTAACTAATCCTAATTGCGTTATAATCCAAAACGAATGTAATAGAAGAGAATCGGTGACAGCCGATCTAAGAAACAATAAATCATACAAGGAAGTGTTTTTTGAACATTTATTAATGTATTGTAGCGTAATATCAATGGCAAATAGACTAAAGTTTTTTTTTTTTTTTGAAAAGCCTACTCCCGCACTAGGAATATATCCTGTGTCGAAGAGGACTTTAAAAACATACATTAAACGGACACAAAGAACACCCAGACTCAGAGCAACAATTTGTATATCACACAAAGTGTCGTCCCATGTGAGGATCGAACCCACAATACTCAGCGTAGTAGTAAGCGGCGTGGCGACTGCTTACACCACTATACCATCCGTGCAGTTAAGATTATAAGTTTGCTAGGTTGAGCCTGCACAAGTATTCAGCTTACAAGGAGGTTGAGGTGTGGGTTCATGTATGAAATCTGTTCATTGATCCCTGCTATTTCAGGCGCTGATTGCACTCTGTGAGGTTTTAGTCGATTCAATATCGACACACTGACCCACTGCAAACCCAGGTCAGGCGATGGCTTGTGGGGGCCTCCATACTCAAATAAAGAATTCGTGTCAGTTTGGAGCTACTGAATCCCTTATTAATAATAAGGGTATTTCCTTCGTTTTCTTGATACTTGTAAGTCTTATAGTAAATGTAAGTAACTTCCTGATCGTCCTAGTAATTCAACAACAATTTAGATTTTCATCAAATACGAATGATTTTTATTTAACATTTAAATTATGGAGAATTTACTGACAAACTGAAAATAAAAAATAATAGTTTTAGAAAACTAAAAAACAAACTTGAAAATTTGGTAGATATATCGAGGACCGATGACAATATACTAATTAAAGAAAAAAAAAAGCGTGGGGTGCTTTTTACTATAGACAACAGGCACCTAACGCTTTTTTTCAAATTTATTAAAATTTATTTTCTATTTTTTAGTTTGGTTTTCTATAAAAAGCGTGTTTTTTAGTTTTTTTAAACTTTTATTCTTTTTATTAATTATTTTTGTTAAATTAGTGTATTGTCATCGGTCCTCGAAATATCTACAAAGTTTGAACGAATTCTGACCGTTTAAAGTCAGTCAAAATCACGCCCAAAGAAGTCGGTTACAAACAAACAAACATACAAGTGAAGCTAATATAAAGCGTGTAAAAAGAAGTTCCATTATCGTTGTGAAACTAAGTCTTTTGGAATTCATAGCATAATTCATATTCCAGCCATTCATCATCTGATTAGCTTAAAGATGCCACATTATAGTGTTACCATCCAAAGTACACATACGACAGTCTTATTTCAATATGACAAATATTCTGCCGAGATTTTGTTGTATTTGTTATAATCTTATTTCATCAAAAAGTAAAAAATATTACACATAACGTATTTAATAAGAACATACTCAGACCTTATTTAGTACGAAATCATTAGGCAAGCGGAAGCTATGTATTTACGAGTACCTATATTAAATTAACTCAAACTCCAAAAATTTTTATTTGATAAAACAATTAAAATTGTTTGAAATCGTCTTTTATGTAGACTCTAAAGTCATAGATAACAACACACAATATCAACAATCTATGATTTGTCAAATAGTTAGCAAAAAGAATTAATAAAAAAATTAACTAAACAAAATCTAATCTAATCTGTGCCGATCTAAAACCGCCTGTTTCCAAGGGGTTTTGTCTTTAAAACATTTCTAAATACGAGTATCACGATGGCTGCATTATTAAAATCCACACTATCAAAAAAAAAATTGTTTTGATATTATTGCTTTTTTTATCAAAAAGCCTGTTACAAGGTACATAAGTATATAAGCTGATTAATTGTATATAAAAGTAAGAAATTTAGGTTGTTTTGAATATAAAAATAGATTTATGATGACATTATTGATGCGAATTCGTGGAAATACTAACCCTTAGGTGATAGTAGGAGTAATGGACTATTGTTTTGTGTAAATATCTTCTATATTTGGTATTCATCATGTGCTGCACTTCAACAAATCACTAGGCATGTCAAGTACAGTTAAAGTTGAAAATGCACATAATCAAAAGCATGGCGATCATACAATGCCTATAAATGGCAATTAAACTGTTTAAAATTTCGTACATGGTTCTTCTAACGCTGAGACAGAGAATGTACAAGGTATCAATTCTAATGTACAAATAATTCAAATCTCTCTGGAGACTCTTTGTTTGAGAGATCATTGGACTTTTAACCTTGTATCAGGCTATGAAAAAAATACTGGAGTAAATGTGAAGGGAGTGAAAATATGGTCCGAAGTAGTCGTAGAACAATTTCTATGGTAGTTTACACACTAGATCCAATTTCCGTCATCCAATTTCTTTCCGTTATCCGTGAATCTCCAATCCGGACAAGATTATTGACGGATTAATATAGCCACACTATTATTAGTATGAACGCACCTACAATTATTCGTCGTTCGTACGTAGGTACAATAGCATTGGCAGAAGTTGACGCCAATCAAAAGGGCTCATAATCATGAGTCGTGTGCGTAAACAATATACGAATTAAGTCAGTCAGTCAGCCTTCCAAATCCGTAATCCCTGATCAGAAATCGAAGGTAGTGCGAAAGGCAACATCTGAATTCAGTCCGAAAATTCTAGATCCGTATTTTCATGGATTCGGATTGGATCGAACTTAGTGTGAAACCACTCTAATTTATTGTATTTTAAACCTACGTTATTAATTATTTATCTTTAAAGTAGGTAATCGTCTATCACTATTACTTTACTTGAAAATGTATGTCTTAAGTAAACTTAACGACATACCACCATTAAAACGTTAGCTTCAAGTCCAGGTCAACAAAGACAATTTATATTACAAGTAGGTACCTACTGTAACGTACGTTTGAAATTCCTAATTCTTAGCTCTAACCTACTAATCCAAAAGACAAGATACCTATTCGAACTATTGACACAAACGAAAAAAAGTCGAAACAAACTGACACTCGTGATTCAATTTATTGGACAAGTTTTATCTTCATATAATTATCAGCTATGACATCATCATCAGCCAAGTATAGGTAAAAATCGAGCCGTTTTGTTCTCGGATTTTTCTTCACTAAATTAGAATACCAAATAGGTAAGTTGTTTACAACTTGCGTCGGCCAAGGCCAAGGCGTACTTTTGACATTTACCGGCTCCAAGAACACGCTTGTCTTATGTTTTAGGTAACTTACTATTGCAGTTAATACTAATTAAATATGCAACTATCATAAAGCCAACTAAAGAAATTTAATAAGCTAGAAAATTTTGAAAATAAAGTACCTAAGTATTCGGAAATCGGTACAATTCGGAAAACGCATCTATCATCTGTCGGAGTTGTACTTACCGCGGATTTCAGCGATGTGTGAGTCATATTCCGATTTGCTCCTCAGGTACTCCTTCCTGGGGGCAGATTGCCATGTCTGTGTCTTATACTCTGAATACCACTCGTGCTGCGGTGACTCCGCCCGTTCCTCACTACGAGTCTCTGTGACAGTCCTCTTCACAACCCTTTCAAACTTTACGAGGCGGACTCCAGCTGCAAGGTCGCCCTCCTCGACCTGCCGCTCGAACCGCTCCACACCTTGAAACGGCTCTACATGCCGTAGATTCAGATTGGGAAAATGGGACTCAAAAGTCTTTGTAGGAGATTCGGTGTCACGAGTTTGTTTGAGTTTAACTTCGATTTTCGGCGACTCAGGCCGCCGCTTGCGCTGCTCTATACGTCTTTCTATATCGTCAACATCGATAGATGCATCTACTGCATCATTGCTAGTTTGTCCACTCCATACTTTTTCAAAGAACGAGACGCGATCTCGTAGACCGCTTTGCGACGGGGAGTCGCGGCCGTCCGACATTGCGACATGACCTCTCGAAACGGAGGCTCGCTCGATACTAGCTTAGCTGTTAAGTTAGAGGCTCACCGCTCAGTGTTGAGCATGCGCTGTGCGATTCCACGTGTGTACGTAGACATTGCCTAGACGATGCCGGCAAGTTTTACACGGGGGCTTTAGAATGAACCTTTCTGTTGTTGGAAAATTCCAAGGAATTGTAAGTTAACAATATGGAAAATAGATTGATTTAAGTGTGAAATACATGCTACATGTAACTGCTATTCAGTTTTTATCTTTATTCTAATGTTAGGACAGTTTAAATTGTATTTTGGCGTAAATTTGTAAACATTGTGTTACTTTCGCAACTTGTTATCAATGCAAAGATAATTAGGGTGATGTAACTCAATGAAGTCATCCTTGTGATATTTTTATATGCTATCAGGTACTCAGTGTTTTCAAAGAAATTTATAATCTTTTTAAAGTTTTATAGGACATATATAATAAATAATTGCACTGACATGTCTTGACACGTTATGTTTTAAGCAACTTAACTTATTACTTTGAGATTTGTGTCCTAATTTCATAAAAATAAGACAATATATGCATTAAACCTATGTATATTATGGTAGATATGGCTTTACGAGTCCTTAAAATTTCGTGTGGTGACCGATTGATAACTCGGAGTGTCATCCCGTGGGTGTCGTAAGAGACGACAAAGAGAACTACGCAGGACAACAGCAGAGAGAAGGAAAACTAGACGCAAACCCTATACCAACCCGTCTAGCCAGCATAGTATAGTAGGTCAAAACCTCCTTTTTAAGGAGAGGCCTATGTCCAGCAGTTGACTAAGAAAAGCTAATGATGATAGTATATCCCACCAAAAAGATTTCAAACAAGCTAGAATGCAAGCTTGTGGAAGGAAGGAAGGTTTGTGTTTGTCCGACGACTAAGTTCCATATAAAACGGGCAATTTTCTATTTACAACCAAACAAACTCTTTCGTCAAAACTTGTCCGTGTAGTTACGGATTAAGAATACGGAATGTCACTTCCCCAATTCATCCCGTGGGTGTGCCTATGTCCAGCAGTGGACTATTAAAGGCTGTCGATGTGACGACGATGTGTGATATCAGGTCAAACCTTTAAGGTTATCAGTTGTTGCCCCCTTTTAGGTTGCGCGGCAGTCGGTTTATTATAATAAGTATTTTGATAACTTGTGACAACTCGCAAACGGCTCTAGGACAAAACTCACTCACTTCGATTTGTCTAAAAATAGTCATATATCGTATCTTAAATGTATACCTATTACCTATTAAAGGCTGTTGATGATGTGATGTGAACCAAACAAACTCTTCAGTTAATATTAGTACACGGATGAATTTTATTGTTTTCTAAAACATAATTCTGTTGGAGCAGCATACCTACCTATTACCTATTACTATAGCTTTTTGTTTTTTCTCTTGATATCGTAGTATTATTGATTACCTTAATCCATAAAGATGTAACTTAAGGGGTAGGACGAAAGCTATACGTTACTAATACCAGTAACTTAACCCAAAACGGAATACATTTAGACGTTCGTTGAACCGTTGTTTATGGAGCGCAGTCACGATGATAAACATCGGAACAACAATTTATGGATTACACAAAGTATGGGGATCGAATCCACAACACTCAGCGCAGTTGGAAGCGGTAACCGCTTAAACCACTACAAACTTTAGTTCCAGTTATTAACGCTTTTAAAATAAACAAACAATCACTGAACATCAGGTATCATCAGGAACATCATCACAATAATTCATGTTATTCTTATTGATTGTGTTTTACTATAAATTTTAGGATTAAAAAAACTAAAAAACAATACAGTCGAATCGAAAACCTCTTTTGTGTTTTTGAAGTCGGTTAATAACACGGTTTGTTAACTAACCGAACTAAAGAGTAGAAAGAAAAAAGCACGGGGTCTGAGATCTGTATTGTTGTGAGAATTTTTTTATTGATAGATATTGGTAAAAGTGAATTTATGATATTATAAAATATCTTAAAAAGCACCCCATCCTATTTTACGATAAATTGATATTTCTTTTTGAACTCGTAGAAAATTATTTTCTACTTTTTAGTTCGGCTAGTTACAAAAGCGTGTTTTTATTTACTATAATTTATTTTTGCTTTTTATTCATTTATGACGATTATTTTCGCATTAAGACAAGAAAAAGTAACAAGCAAGTTAGTCATACACGCCTTTTAGTACGTAGCAAAAAACACTACCGTATTTTTAGGTATAGAAACCCTGAAAATCCTGTAATGTGTACGAAGTAACAATTTAATTCGACGTTTTGGAGTCAAAATCACGTTTGAAGATTCCGTTACATACATAGACAAATGAAATGAAATAATCTTTACATCCAAATAAATATAATTGGAGTGTCTTTCTTTTTTTTTTCTTTTTTAAAAAGACAACTCCCGCATTAGAAACATATCCTGTGTCGCGGGGGACTTTACAAACATACATGAAACGGACACAAAGAACACCCAGACTCAGAACAACAATTTGTGGATCACACAAAGTGTCGTCCCATGTGGGGTTTGAACCCACAACACTCGGCGCAGTAGGAAGCGGCGTGGTGACCGCTTAACCCCCTACGCCATCCGTGCAGTCTGTCAGTGCATTTGTCTGTTTGTAATATTAAAATAACCGCTTTTTACTAAATTCATATGTATGTTTACACGGTACATATGCCAAAATAACATTTTTTACAATTTTTGTCTGTCTGTCTGTTCCGGGTAATCTCTGGAACGGCTGGACCGATTTCGACGAGACTTTCACTGTCAGATAGCTGATGACATAAGGAGTAACTTAGGCTACTTTTTTTAGACTAGCTTCGCCCCGCGGCGTTGCCCGCGGTTATAACAACAAACGCGGGTAACACCGCGGGTCTCAACTAGTATATATATATATATATAATTTCATTTCATTTAGAGTAAAAACTAATATTATAAAGAGGTAAAGTATGTGAGTTTCTAATCTCAGGGACTACGAGTTCGAATAAAAAAATATTTTAGTGTTTCGAGAGAAGCAGTGAGTGAGGTATAAAGTACGCCTTCTAAAACCACCTAATATAATTAAATAGATACTGTTAATTGCTAAACATGGGGGGCGACCCCCGTTTGAAAGGGTGTCGTAGTAACTGCATGATATACAAATTTTCCGTTACTAAAGAACCCATTGAACTTAAAATAAAATATACACCATAGACGACTGGATGGCGTAGTAGTTTGGGTAACGGACTGCTATTCCAAAGGTCGCGGGTTCGATTCCCGCTCAAGTCAAATATTTGTGTGCATGAACATTTAATGTTTGATTTGGTCTGGGTGTTTCTATGTATAATATGTATGTATTTACAAAAAAAAAAAAGTATATTTGTATTTATATCAGTTGTCTAGTACCCATAGTACAAGCTCTGCTTAGTTTGGGACTAGATGGCGTTGTGTGTATGTGGTAGAATATATTATATATATATATATTATAATATATATACCATTGTTTTAAGTTTAGAATGCATGGTTTAAGCAAAGTTCTGCATATATTTGTTATAATTATATTATGTTATTATTATTCATATATACGAGTATTCATACATTCCCCTTTGCCTGACAGTTAAAACATTTGTATCGCAACATAACCTCAAAGGTTTATAAATATTAGCTTTCAAACTCCCACGCGAAAATGAGGTTACCGGTTTAAGATCTGTTTCTTTATTTCTGTGTGTCTGCTTTATAGCATCACAGCTCTTAAACATATGGACCGATTTCGAATTAGTTTTTGTATTCAAAAAGTGATCGAGAGAATACCTTTTAAACTGAATTTTAAATTGATACCACGGCCTCACAGGAAACCGGTGTTAAGCAATTCTTCCTTTGCATTTCACTGAGTGAGTGAGGTTACCGGAGCCCAAATCCCCCCTCCCGCTGACTCGAGCGGGAGGGACTCCAAGGGCAGCAAAGCACTTCTGACTTTTGGGTGTCCATGGGCGGCGGTAGTTGCTTACCCCGCTCGTTTACCCCCTTATACCATAAAAAATATATATATATATATATACTTAATATAGTTTTGATCAAGTTATCTTGCAAGAAACTTCATTCAAAGCTTTGTCTACCTTACAAGAGACTGTGGTTAAAAATAATTTATTATGGTTACAAGCATAGATGCAAGTTGCAAATTGGCGTACCATTTACTTGTGCTGGTCTGCTACTCCCCAGAGGAGCCTTTATCTAGAGACTACAAAGTCTTTTTGAAAGAAATTTTACTTAAAAACCTGGAGCTATTGTTTTTACAAACGTATTTACTTCACCATAACACCAATGCTCACCCACTATAACAAGTTCCCGTCCCCAAAATCAGCTGTACGATCATCACCCGTCTCTTACTGACTTGGCAAGTTGTCAATTATCCGTCCCTGTCTCTCGCCAAAGGGCTAAAGCCCCAGTGCCCTTGATTCACGACCTCAACGCAGCAGACAGCGACCCATTTGTCGGTTCATGACTGTTAAATTAGTTTATTGTGTTGTTAAGTGTCAGATGAAATGAGTATGACGCATGTTCTCCAGTTTCTTAGAAAACTGTTATATCCTAACGAGTACAGTCTCTCTTTAAGGGTCGCTGGTCTTAATAATAAATAATAATAATAAATTGTTTATTTTCTCGCCACAATACATTTATACATAATTTTAGCCTGTATAAGAATTATTACAAAATTTTATACTGTGGGAGACTAGTGCCTCAGCCAGGCTAAGAGCCTGTGTTTCAGGACACCAGGGTCCCCTCCTTAATTGTATACATATCTGTTAGTTTCAGCGCTTTGACAATTAATTGTGGTCGAACTATTATTATTGTGTGTGTGTGTAGGTGTGTGTGTGTGTGTGTTCATAATAGTGGGTGTAGGATCGTGATGTACCTATGTTTATGCTAAGACAGCAATCATCTTTTCAGTGTCGTCGTAACTTAGATCTGAGAGCCAAGCAGTTAATTT